CCATCGCACAAGCAAGTGGCTATCAGGACTCAGTGGCCGAGTGGATAACGCGATGGCGTTTGAAGCGAGGGTACTGGGTTCGAGTCCCAGAGTGAACATCAACTCTGAGATGCAGGTACATCCAGCTGACGAGTCCCAAATAGGACGAAACGCGCGTCCTGGATTCCACTGCTAGCCACTATCCATCTCTGCTAACCATGCTTGTGAATTAAGGTATATCGAGGCAATACGCACAGTATGCACATATGCCAATTAGAGACTGACCAGTTGCAGTCCGAACAAATCGATGGGAAGATTCAAACAAACAATACTAAGTTGAATTTAAACTTCACCCCATCGCACAAGCAAGTGGCTATCAGGACTCAGTGGCCGAGTGGATAACGCGATGGCGTTTGAAGCGAGGGTACTGGGTTCGAGTCCCAGAGTGAACATCAACTCTGAGATGCAGGTACATCCAGCTGACGAGTCCCAAATAGGACGAAACGCGCGTCCTGGATTCCACTGCTAGCCACTATCCATCTCTGCTAACCATGCTTGTGAATTAAGGTATATCGAGGCAATACGCACAGTATGCACATATGCCAATTAGAGACTGACCAGTTGCAGTCCTAACAAATCGATGGGAAGATTCAAACAAACAATACTAAGTTGAATTTAAACTTCACCCCATCGCACAAGCAAGTGGCTATCAGGACTCAGTGGCCGAGTGGATAACGCGATGGCGTTTGAAGCGAGGGTACTGGGTTCGAGTCCCAGAGTGAACATCAACTCTGAGATGCAGGTACATCCAGCTGACGAGTCCCAAATAGGACGAAACGCGCGTCCTGGATTCCACTGCTAGCCACTATCCATCTCTGCTAACCATGCTTGTGAATTAAGGTATATCGAGGCAATACGCACAGTATGCACATATGCCAATTAGAGACTGACCAGTTGCAGTCCTAACAAATCGATGGGAAGATTCAAACAAACAATACTAAGTTGAATTTAAACTTCACCTCATCGCACAAGCAGGTGGCTATCAGGACTCAGTGGCCGAGTGGATAACGCGATGGCGTTTGAAGCGAGGGTACTGGGTTCGAGTCCCAGAGTGAACATCAACTCTGAGATGCAGGTACATCCAGCTGACGAGTCCCAAATAGGACGAAACGCGCGTCCTGGATTCCACTGCTAGCCACTATCCATCTCTGCTAACCATGCTTGTGAATTAAGGTATATCGAGGCAATACGCACAGTATGCACATATGCCAATTAGAGACTGACCAGTTGCAGTCCGAACAAATCGATGGGAAGATTCAAACAAACAATACTAAGTTGAATTTAAACTTCACCCCATCGCACAAGCAAGTGGCTATCAGGACTCAGTGGCCGAGTGGATAACGCGATGGCGTTTGAAGCGAGGGTACTGGGTTCGAGTCCCAGAGTGAACATCAACTCTGAGATGCAGGTACATCCAGCTGACGAGTCCCAAATAGGACGAAACGCGCGTCCTGGATTCCACTGCTAGCCACTATCCATCTCTGCTAACCATGCTTGTGAATTAAGGTATATCGAGGCAATACGCACAGTATGCACATATGCCAATTAGAGACTGACCAGTTGCAGTCCTAACAAATCGATGGGAAGATTCAAACAAACAATACTAAGTTGAATTTAAACTTCACCCCATCGCACAAGCAAGTGGCTATCAGGACTCAGTGGCCGAGTGGATAACGCGATGGCGTTTGAAGCGAGGGCACTGGGTTCGAGTCCCAGAGTGAACATCAACTCTGAGATGCAGGTACATCCAGCTGACGAGTCCCAAATAGGACGAAACGCGCGTCCTGGATTCCACTGCTAGCCACTATCCATCTCTGCTAACCATGCTTGTGAATTAAGGTATATCGAGGCAATACGCACAGTATGCACATATGCCAATTAGAGACTGACCAGTTGCAGTCCTAACAAATCGATGGGAAGATTCAAACAAACAATACTAAGTTGAAATTAAACTTCACCCCATCGCACAAGCAAGTGGCTATCAGGACTCAGTGGCCGAGTGGATAACGCGATGGCGTTTGAAGCGAGGGTACTGGGTTCGAGTCCCAGAGTGAACATCAACTCTGAGATGCAGGTACATCCAGCTGACGAGTCCCAAATAGGACGAAACGCGCGTCCTGGATTCCACTGCTAGCCACTATCCATCTCTGCTAACCATGCTTGTGAATTAAGGTATATCGAGGCAATACGCACAGTATGCACATATGCCAATTAGAGACTGACCAGTTGCAGTCCTAACAAATCGATGGGAAGATTCAAACAAACAATACTAAGTTGAATTTAAACTTCACCCCATCGCACAAGCAAGTGGCTATCAGGACTCAGTGGCCGAGTGGATAACGCGATGGCGTTTGAAGCGAGGGTACTGGGTTCGAGTCCCAGAGTGAACATCAACTCTGAGATGCAGGTACATCCAGCTGACGAGTCCCAAATAGGACGAAACGCGCGTCCTGGATTCCACTGCTAGCCACTATCCATCTCTGCTAACCATGCTTGTGAATTAAGGTATATCGAGGCAATACGCACAGTATGCACATATGCCAATTAGAGACTGACCAGTTGCAGTCCGAACAAATCGATGGGAAGATTCAAACAAACAATACTAAGTTGAATTTAAACTTCACCCCATCGCACAAGCAAGTGGCTATCAGGACTCAGTGGCCGAGTGGATAACGCGATGGCGTTTGAAGCGAGGGTACTGGGTTCGAGTCCCAGAGTGAACATCAACTCTGAGATGCAGGTACATCCAGCTGACGAGTCCCAAATAGGACGAAACGCGCGTCCTGGATTCCACTGCTAGCCACTATCCATCTCTGCTAACCATGCTTGTGAATTAAGGTATATCGAGGCAATACGCACAGTATGCACATATGCCAATTAGAGACTGACCAGTTGCAGTCCTAACAAATCGATGGGAAGATTCAAACAAACAATACTAAGTTGAATTTAAACTTCACCCCATCGCACAAGCAAGTGGCTATCAGGACTCAGTGGCCGAGTGGATAACGCGATGGCGTTTGAAGCGAGGGTACTGGGTTCGAGTCCCAGAGTGAACATCAACTCTGAGATGCAGGTACATCCGGCTGACGAGTCCCAAATAGGACGAAACGCGCGTCCTGGATTCCACTGCTAGCCACTATCCATCTCTGCTAACCATGCTTGTGAATTAAGGTATATCGAGGCAATACGCACAGTATGCACATATGCCAATTAGAGACTGACCAGTTGCAGTCCTAACAAATCGATGGGAAGATTCAAACAAACAATACTAAGTTGAATTTAAACTTCACCCCATCGCACAAGCAAGTGGCTATCAGGACTCAGTGGCCGAGTGGATAACGCGATGGCGTTTGAAGCGAGGGTACTGGGTTCGAGTCCCAGAGTGAACATCAACTCTGAGATGCAGGTACATCCAGCTGACGAGTCCCAAATAGGACGAAACGCGCGTCCTGGATTCCACTGCTAGCCACTATCCATCTCTGCTAACCATGCTTGTGAATTAAGGTATATCGAGGCAATACGCACAGTATGCACATATGCCAATTAGAGACTGACCAGTTGCAGTCCGAACAAATCGATGGGAAGATTCAAACAAACAATACTAAGTTGAATTTAAACTTCACCCCATCGCACAAGCAAGTGGCTATCAGGACTCAGTGGCCGAGTGGATAACGCGATGGCGTTTGAAGCGAGGGTACTGGGTTCGAGTCCCAGAGTGAACATCAACTCTGAGATGCAGGTACATCCAGCTGACGAGTCCCAAATAGGACGAAACGCGCGTCCTGGATTCCACTGCTAGCCACTATCCATCTCTGCTAACCATGCTTGTGAATTAAGGTATATCGAGGCAATACGCACAGTATGCACATATGCCAATTAGAGACTGACCAGTTGCAGTCCGAACAAATCGATGGGAAGATTCAAACAAACAATACTAAGTTGAATTTAAACTTCACCCCATCGCACAAGCAAGTGGCTATCAGGACTCAGTGGCCGAGTGGATAACGCGATGGCGTTTGAAGCGAGGGTACTGGGTTCGAGTCCCAGAGTGAACATCAACTCTGAGATGCAGGTACATCCAGCTGACGAGTCCCAAATAGGACGAAACGCGCGTCCTGGATTCCACTGCTAGCCACTATCCATCTCTGCTAACCAATATAAGATTTAGTTTGAGTCTCCTCTTCCATAAGGGGTCGAGCCCAAGTTTACTACACCTAGAGTTGTATGTCAAGGTACAATTAGTTCCGAGAATACGAAGTGTAAGTCGTCTCTGTACTGATTCCAACTTCATTTGTCCTTTATGCGCGCGCTACTATGAATAAACGCGCAGTATTCAGGGAGTGGTCGAACACAAACTTTGTACATTAAAATACATGATTCGTTTTTATAAAGGTTCCGAGTTATGTAACGTTAAGTCTGTTTCATGCGTCATAAACTCCATAGCTGCGCCCTTAGAGCAAGATTCTGAGAAAAGAGAAACAAAGGAGTATCAAGGCACTTGGATATGAATGCTAGACAATGCTTAGCATTTTGTAGTGGAGCAGACAAAAGTATGATAAATAAGTAGTGTTATAACGTATGCCCTGAGCAGTCTTGGGTGCTATTCGGTCCTTCCTATCTGCCTAGCCCAGCCAGTTAAGTCCAGAACACAAATAACAGCCTCGGAAATATGAATCATTATTTACAAACATACTGGGTGTTTATACAAACCAAAGTAATCAATAAACTGATTATAACTCAATAATCGTATGATCATAAATCAAAGATCAAAATAAAGCTCATCATAAGAGAAAACGAATATGAATAATTTAGTTACGTAACAACTGTACAATAAGAAATAGGCATAATACATTGGTCGATAAATAGACCTTAGATTTACCATTCATAATTCACCAGGGGATATAACACCTCCCCTTTTTGAGAAATCCAGAGTTGACATCTGGATTTTAAATTTCTCGAATTCATCCTCCCCCACGAAAGACTGTTGGATCCTCATGTACCCAAGTTACCATTATTGTGACATCATTTAAAACATATTCGTCGTATTTAACTGAGAATCCACGAGAACTTATTAGATCGTGAGGATCGACGACATTCGATTTGAGGTCACAAGCGTCTGATTCTTCTGAAACAGTTTCCTTGAATTTACTCGGAACCTCATTAGTAGATAATGAATCATTAGGATAATCAGCATCTATGAAAGTTGTATTGGATTCTTGATTATCATTTAATGCATCCGATATTTTTCTCCCATTTTTATAAGAGATTTGAACTGGAACATATGAATCAGTAAAATAATCGGGATCTGGCAGAACAATTAGATAATTTTGATCATTAGATTCATTAGAAAAATTTTCCGTATCATGAATAATTTCATTTGGCGCCTCTGCATTCAATATACTGCTCGATTTGCTTCCCATTTCTTCGTGGGCGGGTACTGCAGCAATTTCATGAGCATTTGACATGGCATCATGTTGCTGAGAGCTGGGAGCATCACTGTTCGGACCTGCTAATTCAGGGATAGTGGTGTTTGAATCCACTACCGGGCACGTTTCTGAAACAGGCAGCACCGGACTACTGGGCTGATCATGTAGGACTGTTATTGCTTCGTTTAATTTACAAGTAGAATAAACTCATACTAGCTCTTCTTGCTGGAGTGAAATGTAGGTTCCTTTTGGTTCTGGGGTCGTACTTCCACCTGCTAGTACCCGGATGTAAAACCTAAGTTGAAAATCAGCATGCGACTCTCATAGTATCCAAAGTAGCATCAGTTAGTGGAAGTGGAACGGATTCACGCTTCGTTATGGCATTAAGGTGACTGCAATCGTAGCATAATCAAAGGGAGGAATCTTCTAAACAAAACGATGGGCCAAGCTCAGGGTAATGACGAACATACAATAATTTTTTCTAGTACTTCTTTTATCATTGATTCCAGCTTTGGCTGATAATGTATTGTAGATTGACTATGATCACCACTACAATAAGATTACGTTCCACATAACGACTTGGATCCCTCGATAGTCCGAAAACCAGAAGGCTATTATTGGTCGAGATTGGATATATTTATTGGCGATCTCGTGGTATCGAAAGAATACTGAAACGTGTCAAAGAGTACAGGCAAAATTGCAGAGCGTAAGAGCCTTCGCACGAACAAGATGGACAACGAAACGAAAAGTGCTTTTGGTACAGTTAAACAAACAAGTACAGTAAAACAATCACTGGTACAATTAGTTATAATAATGATTGTTTCCATTATACCAATCGTGTTCTCGTCATGAAAAATAGGTCACTACAGACGTAGTACGTTTGTCAGTACATGTGTGAAGGCAAAACAGAACATAAAGGAGCACGGATAGATAGCCCTGTATAATAAATTAATTTAAAAATGTCGATGATTAGTATCAAACAATCAAAGTGGGTACAGAATGCGGTACATATCTTAACTGTGAGCTTGCATTTGTAAAACCTGGGGGGTGCAGATATAAGTAGTTTAGAAGATGATTACCGTCTGAGGTTATTGTACTGCCTTATGACCAAATATATGGAACAGATTTTTGGATAAAAAGTACTGCCAAAAAACTATGAGAGACTCACCGAATTGGTCAGATAATTCCGGAAATTAAATGAGTTATAGTATCTAAATATGATTTTATTGAAAGCGTATAGAATGATGACTACAGTGTTTTATCATACACGATTATATATATTTCACGATATTAGGTAGAGATCTGAATGGATCCTGTAAATACATAAAGAACGTGAGTTATAGCATACAAATACAATATAAGGAATAAATTACAAACATGAAATTCACTTCCTCGTCGAATATTTTCATATATGGTATTAAAAATGACAGAGTTGGTTAGATTGAATAGCTGAAGTGAATATTTAATTATTTGATTATCAGTTTTTGTATGAATATGATCATATATACCATGCATAAGTTAAGTTCACATCTTATCATGTAATGATGTCATTGTTACCATAGATTTTTTGATTCATAATGTTTTTATACCTAGTTCTATTTCTATCAATCTTAGTTATTGGGTATTCCTTCTAGGTAACTTGGTTTTTTTTAGTTCTAATATAACATTGAATAGGTTGTAGTAATTATCTTGGAGATTTTTATTTATATTTTACTTGGTTATTACTTCTTACTCTATGGGATTGGTTTCATATTTTCGCCAACATATCATCTTGCATTTTCTATGCTAAGTGTATATCGTGTTTCATACGTAGAGAGTTCATCTCATTTATCCTATTCAAAGTGTATTGTTCTTCAGCTAATCTAATCATTCTATTAACTACGGCACTAGCTTGTACTTAGAGGTTTTTGTTGGATGTAGTAGAGTTATATAGCCAGGCTAGTCTTAAACACTCCCTATGTTTATCTCTCGTCTTAAGAGATTACTTGTGTAGTGATCTCTCAGCGGTAGATTTATACGGTAACGCCGTCATATTAGTGGCTTGTGTTATGGCCTTCGCAGCTTGACTTGGTGTACAGTTATTTTATAGTAAGTTATCTAGTATGGCAGAGTAGTTTATGGACATTGCGTACATCGCTGTACGAGACTTATTTTGGAGAATTGTATTGGTGTTGTGGCTATTTCTATTATTTAAGCATTTCAGTTTGACTACTGATGTTACCGTCTCTGTGAGTTGATAGGGCACACATTACGGAAACCACCAAACGGCATCACGGGCAAGCTCCCACTTGAAATACTGAAGGGAAATGGAAAAGAGGAAGGCCAAATAATATATTGTGCTGAGAATAGGAAGCAGACATCGAAAGGATGAATAGCAACTTAGTTTTGTCTCTGGTCTTATACTCCACATTAGTGGAATGCACATGAGCTGCAACACTACGCCTGTACACCCACATACCCGATGTACAATCCATATTTATTCGACTCCCCCCGGTATAAAGAGTTTTCTCAGTTTTTCTATACTCTTCTTTCCGAAGTAAGTTTTGAACATTACGTTTGGTCACATCTAATTGATCAACTGTCTTGTAGCACACACTTAGGGACGTCCACTCAGCAGGATTTTCACTGGATCTCACACACCTCCACTGGCCCACAGACGTTAACTGGTGAATAGTGGGGTACCGTTATCCACAAATGTGAAACACCTGATCTCTGTATTTCTCACATGATACAGAAATATCATGGGATCCACCCAGAAGTTAATCTTGTCAAATATGTATGAGAGATTCCTATTCAAAATTTTAACCAGTGGAGTACTCAGTACTGACGTCAGCTCAAGTCTAGACACAGATACTGGTTTTATAGGTGCGACCCTAGCCCTACTACAGAGCGAGATTCTGTAGAGGGTTCGGGCATACGTATGCTCCATGAGTAGGCCACTGCATCGTGACCTGTTTCGTAGGCATCAGAAAACAAATGTAACTCAATCGTTCCACGAGGACAAAATATTAGCACTAAGGGACTGGTCCCAACTAATGTAAATTACAGAGAATCTGTAAGAGTTGCTGTGATGTTTAAGAGTATTTGAATCATAGTATAAACCATTAATCCCAGAAACAACGCAATTTAATCAAGAAGTATTAGATGAGCACGAACGAATGTACTGTATTTGGAATTCAAAATCAAAACAATCATCAATACAAAGAAATCATTGCTTTATATAAACAGCACAGTTGCCTAGCAGAAAGGTATATTGAAGCAATTTGGCCTAGTGGATCGAAAAGGGATGAAACGGCCGGTAATATTTCTCTTCCACCCAGAGGCTTTTCTCCTGCGTCAAATCGAAATTTAAAAACAACGTTTATGATGTCCCACTTAATCTCAAGGGCTGGATGAAAGGGCCACTGGTTCAAAAACGATATCAACTATCGATTCCGTACATTTTGAACAGCGCCTCTCTTTTTCAAATACTCCATTGAAGGGAGAACATCCGTGATTAGTCGCCGCTTCGGAAAAGCAGGAAAGCCTAGAGGAAAAGGTGAGGTTCCTGTACAGGAGTCCCGAACCAGGTTCTATTGAACATTCGAAAAAAGGTGAAATGCTGGTGTGCGAGGCTATAAAAGATATATCCATAGTCAGATAGCCAAAAAATACAAGTTACTCAGGAATGATTCTAAAGATCCATGGCCTAACGGATAAATTCGAACCAGAGGATGTGTCCTCTCAAAATACCTGTGGCCAAGGACCTAACAAACTAAGAAATAGCAGATATTTTCGATGTCTGCTCTACTGCACAATAAGCCAAGCACGTATGCCAGAGGAAAACGCTTTTACTTATGTGCCAGGTGAAGTTTTGCGATATAACCTAACTCTTGAGCTAGTATCAATGAAATTGAAGTCATTCCAACTGAAAAAGTCGCAGGAGAAACAAGATAATACTGAAATATTACTTCAAATCATTCTTAAAGCCTTTCATACACTTACTATGAAGGTTTACATTGGTTATTGAAAACTTCATTACCGGCGAAGGTCAGTTTCGGTCAGCGCGGGGACGGCAAGTAAAGTATTTGCGGCCGCTTGACCTGCTCGCTCCTGGTTCCTGCCCCAAGGTCCTCTTGGTCTTTGGCATGTGTGACTGCTAATTGTTGTCTGTTGCTTTCCGTAATTAATGTGAGCGAATTGTGTAGGCTCTCCAGGTCATCGACCAACGTTATCTGTTTTATTTTCTAGCATTCCTGAGGTTACTCTGCATGCTCCCCTCGTACTCAAAGTACCTCCTGGCCTGACGCGACCCGCTACACATCGGTCCCCCAGACTTCTGGTTGTAGACGAAGCCTATTTTGGTTTATTGGCATCCCTATGTTACTTTAACAATGCCACAAAAGCAACTGTTTGTTTGTGCTTTGTATGATTACAACCGCCAACATACTGACGAGGTTAGTTGATTTATTTTTGCTTATCTTTTTTATCATTCAAGAGCTGAGCTTTAAAATTCTTTTCTTAGCGCTCAGTACGACTAAACCTCACTATGGGGGGAGTCGCAATAAAAAAATTTAGGGAAATGGTACAAAAACCCTAAATTTGGAAGATTTGAGTGAATGCAAAAGTTGTGTTCGTTGGTAGTCCTTTTTACCTGGTTGGTGTTTTTACGAACTCACAAGCCAGTTCTCCGTACTGTATCGTTATCAAAATACTATAAATCCATAACTTGTTCCTATAAGTGGTCTCAGCTCTACATAAGGCTTGCGCTGTATATTGGCGCGTTCTTTTTAGTCTCATAAGATGTGTCGCCATGACATTCAGAACTGTAAGCTACCATCTTTGGCTTTGCTGTCTTCAATAACAGAGATAGTAAGTCGGTAGACTTGCAGTATGTTTTATAGTGAAGATCCAGCCCCTCGAAATTCACTGGTGGGGCTGATATCGCTTGTTTGAGTAGGGCAGGTCGATAAGAAAATTAGAATCCACTCTGAGTTTATTGTATCCCAGTTTTTGAATATACTTTTTATTATCTCAGAGGGAACAAAGCAGTTAGACGTACCTACACCCGAATCGTTATTAAAGATCTGCAATCTCGACATGAGATCACTACGCGTAATACAGTGCAAGTTCCAGGGGCTTTTTGAAAAAAAATCTTGGAAAGACCCTTCATCAACTTAGTTGACGAGACTAATTTATAAACGACCTTTGAACAAATCTCAAATGACCTTGAGAAATATTAGCCAATCGGTAAACAATCAGTCAGCTACAACGTAGGGTCAGGCACACATATGCATCGGTCCAAGTCGCCATACCTTGTTAGCACAGCAGGATGAACATCGGATTCATAGTAGTTAATTTAGTGGTGGTAATATATAAGAGAAAGATTGTATATAAGAATATAGTACTGGCAGGAAGACATATGAAGGTTTAAGGGAAGATAAAGAGTGTATGCGCCTGCGCCGTTGTGATCGATTATGAGCCATGTCATTCAGTGTCTCCAACCATTGGTTACGATAGTCACGCGGACTTCAACCTAGTAGTCTGCATCTACCAATATGGCTCAGACTAGAAATTAGTGACTTCAAGCACTGATGCCACGTTTTGGTTAGGCCGCCCCTAACTCTCTTCCAACCATCCCCTACACTAATCAGCATAGCGCGTCGTGGTAATCAGCCTTCAAGCATACGTATCACGTGGCCTAACCATCTCAGTTTATGAAGATTCATGACCTTATCAACTGATTTGGCATCATTCCCTAATACTCCGTGTCTAACCTCATTATTACTTACCCGATGATCCCAGCAGCAATGTTTCTAAGGCATCTGTGGTCAAATACTAGTAACTTACGAGTATCTTCTACTCTTAATGACCATGTTTCACAGCCTTAAAGTAGAACAGAGCGAACTTCTGCGCAGTATACTCGTTCCTTAATTGATAGACGGATATCTCGTCTTCGCCGTAGGTGACGTAAGTTGGCAAAAGCCAAACGAGCTTTTTCAGTCCGTGCAGAGATTTCGTCAGACATCAACCTATTAGGGCTAGTCAGACTTCCAAGATAAGTGAAGTTGTAGGCGCGTTCGACTACTTCACTCCCCATCCTTAGTTCAGGTGTTGACGCAGGCCAGTCCTGGAGTAACAATTTACATTTGGATGGAGAGAAACGCACCCCAAACATCCTGGCATTATTACTCAGTTCTAAAAGAGGACTGCATTTTGTCAGCGTCTTCAAACAGGACTATATCATCTGCGTATTCTAAGTCGATAAGTAGACCTCCTGGTAGAAGATCAATTCCTGAAAATTCAGTCGACAAGAGTTTTATTTCCAGTAGGAGGTCTATAATGAAGTTGGACAAAAATGTGGTTAGTGGACAACCTTGTCGGACACCACTTGAGGTTGTAAAATCAGGTGACAGTTCGCCATAACTCACTCGACTGGTAGTGTTCAAGTAAAGAGCCTCCACAAGGCTTACGTAATTCTGAAGTACACCTTTCAATGACAGACACTGCCACAGAGCCTCTCGGTTTACAGAGTCAAATGCTGCTTTTAAGTCAAGAAAAACTATCATTGTCGGACGCCAATAAGCATGCCTGTGTTCTAAAACCTGATGAGTAGTGAATATGTGGTCAATGCAGCCACGACCAGGTCTGAAGCCAGCCTGATTTTCTCGTATTTGCAGTTCACGAGTCTTAGTTAGGCGCCCGATAATTATTGAGGCAAGTATTTTAGATGCTATGTTAGTCAAACTAATCCCTCTATGATTATCACAGGATGATTTTGGCCCCTTATATATTAGGACAATAAGCGATTGTGACCAGTCAGATTGGATTACGTCCAACTCCCAGATTTTAGCCAATATATAAGTCAGCCAAATCGCTAAAATTGGACCACCATATTTAGAGACATCTTAAGCCAATCCATCTGGACCAGCTGCTCTTCCTCGTTTCAGATTAGCTATAGCCTTTTGAACTTCAGATAGGGTCGGGAGACCTACTTCAATGTTCCATTCAGGTTTTCTGGGAATAGTGGGTAGTTGTGCAGTAGCTGAAGGCCAGCTGAACTGCTCCTTAAAGTATTCCGCCCATCGTTCTAAACGTCTGGGCTGAAAGCAGATAAGGGTCCCGTCTTTTTCCGAGATCGTTTGATTTACACTTAATTTATTAATTCCGATTTCTTTTATTAGTCTGAAGAGTTGTCTGGTGTTGCCTACAGCTGTTGTCTTTTCCATTTCTCTTGCTTCCGTTGCCCACTACTGCTCACGATCGTTCCGTAGACTCTTGGTTAACCTAGATCTGATTTCTTTTCGATCTTCGTCATGTTCAGAGCCTGATGGGGGTGAGTTTACGTAAATCCATCAGTGGAATAGACTTAAAAGAAATCCACTGGTTTTTTGGAAGTCTTTGGTTTAAATAACTAATAGATGTTACTGCTGTTTCCACAGTTGTTTTTATATCTTTCTAGGCAGCATATGGGTCAGTCTCGTTTACAGAACTGCCTAAATGTGAACTCAATTGTCCCTGGAATCGACCTTTGGCTTTCTCATCACTGAGTTCAATCCTAATGGTTCTTATCGTAGTTTTTCTGCGTCCTGTGAGGCGCAAACAAATGTGTGCTCGTATTAAAGCGTGATCAGAGTCTAAACATGTATTCCAGAACTGGTGACAGTCTTCTATTAGGCCTTTCCAATAATGACTGATAGCAATTTGGTATATTTGAGTCCATCGCCATGTTAAACGATGTCTCTCCTTATGCGTAAAATTAGTGTTTGCTAAAAATAAATGATTGTCTGAGCACAGTTGCAACAGATGATCACCATTATCTGTTCACTGAGCCGGGATTTTGAAACACCCACCTAAATGTCTTTCCATTTGGTTAAAGCTACCTAATTGGGCATTAAAGTCACCCGCTACGAGTACGAGCTTTCTGTACAATTCATCTTTCACTTCATCAGGGCTGCAGTCAGTGGGAGTGTAAGCAGAAACGACGAAAAGGCAGAGACTTGTGTCCCTATCCTTCCAAGTTTTTACGAAACCGTTTAGCCGAACAGCATATAAACGATTGTTAACGGAGATCCATTCTAATAGTGCCTGTTCTGCTCTGGTACTACTTGCTGTGCCTATATCTGCAAGTCCACGAGAACTAGTCATAGAGTCGCCAGATACACGGATGGTGTATTTCATTGGCTGTCCATTTTGACGAGGTGAGTTCAAGTGAATGGCCACACTAGGACCCTGTCATACCTTTGTAGTCCACAGTACGAATTCGCCTTCGGACCTTGGGTTTGTTCCTTTGTGTTTTACAATTCTTCAACGGACTTGCCTGGCATCTTAGGACCTTGAGAAACGACTTTTCCAGCCAGTATGACCCGATTGGTTCATCACGATAGGCAAATCCGACCGCCACGTCAAGGTAGCAGCAACGGTCGGGACAGGAACTCATCCATGTGGCTCCATAAAAGTCGATCTCTGGAGCCATTATAAGGTCATAGAAACCCTCTCGGCCTCCACCACATAGCTTCAATATTGTTTGTGTGTACTCCGGTTGTGTAAATTTATCATTGTTATTATGGATATGTCCCTACAAAACTCATACCACTGAACAGCCGAAGTTTCAGTGACGCCTGCGATTATTGCAGCCAATGTTACTGGTGCTTTTATTATACAGTTCGCGGCAATTATCATAACATACCTTAGTCTCAATCTGGATCGGGCGAAAGAGGTTCCTATTCTAGCAAACGTCTTCCTTCAAAATATGTTACATCGAAGGACATCACGGTAGTGTGCACAGGGTCTACAAGTCATTTGATTACTGCAATTCTAAATAAAGGAACTTCTTAGTAATCTCATTTATTGTAACCGCTTAATTGTCAAGTCTTTTCTAAAATCCTCAGTGAACCGATCGTATATGAGCACCAGGTACTGAAATTGGCGCCGTGACCTTGAAATCCCTCAGACTCGCCACTTTGTTCCCAAACGCTAAACACACTTGAGTGCTTCACCTTCCTTAGATATAAACGATCTGCTTAAATTCGGATCCTTAGGTGTGGTCGTACATAGGTAATGTATGAAGTCCGAAACATCTCATCAATGTGTTTGAATGCTGAAGGAAGTAATCATAACGTCCGGAAACTTCTGGTGGCTGCTGCGTTGTAATGTGCATTCGTTTTTAACCCATGACTTACTGCTACACCTAAGTCCTTTTGTTCCTGTACATGTGGAAGCGAAGTACTGTTGATAATATACTGGTAACTTGCCGTGTCCGATGTGCGTTACTACACCCTAACATTAATCGCTAGATCCTAACTTTGGGACCACCTGACCATTTCATCTAGGTAAGCTTGTAGATCAAGATGATCAACCTCACTACTTATTGTTCTCCAGATCTTGACATCATCTGTGAACAATACCGTCGACGACGTCGGCAGTTTCGGTAATTCACTGACGTAGGGAAGGTAAAATAGGAGACCCATGATGATGCTATGGGACACACCGATTTTGACAGGCTTCTATTCTAGCGGTGTCCGATTCGCCCTTAACCTCTATCTTCGTCCACTCTCGTACAGCACCTATTCTAAAGCTCGAGAGCCATATAAGCTCTAAGTGAGAAACCTGATCAAATGCTCTGCTGAAATCTATGAATATCTCGGGCTGCTGTCCAGTCCTCTCTCGCAATAATTAAGCTAACTAAACATGAATTCTTATTCTGAAACCCCTATTAATAGATTGCATGATTCTATGAAACGTAGTAACCTATATCGAATCATTTTTTCGAGTTGCTTAGTTACTACGCTGGTTAGATCGACTGGTGGGTAGTGAGACACTGATTATCTCTTGCCACACTTTTATTTATTTGAACACATAAACATTGGTACATGGGGGCACCAAATACATATGCACCACACAAAAATAAAGCCAGTAGTAATTATCACTGATTTGTGTGAGGGCCCATGTGCACCATTGGTTTGGAATCAGGGTTTTTCCACTCCTCTATGTAAATCCCTAAACACTCGGAAACCAGACAGTATAGTAGTTCACGAGGTGCCTGAGTTGATAGGTGGTATTCGGGACGAAGCTCACAGACGCGATATGCAACAGTGGTACTGGCTACCACGTAACGTGTTCAGGCTACCTCGCACGTTGCACCTCACGACTACTAAGTCCACGCGTCTGATAGCTGTGTATCTCAGAAGCCAAGAGGACGTAACTGCTCGAAGAATGACCTCTAGCCACAGGTATTATGAGAGCCGACCTAAATCAGCAAAGCAGCGGGATAAATCAAAGTAAAAGTGTCGCTTGACTTTTACCAACAGCTCACGATATAGGACTTCGAGGTCGTGGGACGCGCTACATTTGCCGAAAATTTTGCAGCGTTCAGTTTCCACAAAATCGATCATCCTACTTGAAATAAATTTGTTTAAAACCAGAAAACATGTTACTGCAGAGGAGCACCAAGTGACGAGACAAACTAGCAAGTGCCTTTATAGCAGTGTAAAGGGACCAAAGTGTAAATTAGCAGGGGTGAGAAACATATGCCTCCAGTTGTAACTTAGGATTATAGTTCTAACTGAAACATTGCTCCTCTGTAATTACGGATGACGAGGTAAGCATGCGTCATGACACCTAATGTGACAGACTACATAAAACCGACGGGGGGGAGTGGTGATGCACATTAACATTGATTAAAAGTCGTAATGCATCATTGTATTAAAGTAACCGAGTTGATAAAACTGTGTTGGTGTAGCTTCAACGCAAATGACATCAAGTACTTGGAGAAATATGCCGGTCCTTCACATATACTAAAATCAAGAAAGATAATCCAGGTGCTATCACAACTACTACACTCGGGGTTCATTCAATCAGATGCTCCTAGTCGGAGACTTCAAAAACTTTCCTCAATGTCATTAAGCAGAATACAACCCTCTCAGGCTGATTTCATAGGCGATTTATCACAACTATTAGTTCGTGACTGAACGTTTAGGTGGCACCATGAGATAGATAAAGGAGGTTAAACCCTAACAACTAGATTATTTGCTATTGAGTGTTCAGTTTCTAGTCCTGGTTTGGACAAGGGAGGAATTTGTACATGAATTTTTCGACTACATCTGACTGCGCACCAGGCACAGGATCCTACCAGTCTTGCAAAGTACTTTGAGCTTATGAAATGCAAAGCACATGCGATATCCGTGGACACTGATTACCAGGACCTGTTTCACGGACTCACTTCTATCTTGACTCTAAAATTACCTGGATGTCCGGGTCTACCGCATCAAGTTACATAAAATGTTCGCGAGCAGGATAGTCGTGACATAAAGTCTCACAACACTCCGTCTCATGTTCATTCATCATGATTTTCATTAATAAAGACAGTCAAGTCACCGATTCTCATATACGCTGACTATGCCAAATATAGGAGGTCCATACAAATGGAAAGAATTCACTCAAGCCCCAAAAAGACCATGACAATGAGGAAAGTGGGCAGTGGACAGTAGGTCAAAATTTATAATGTCATGTTTTGAACATTCGGTCGACAGGATACGAACAACTCGCTGATGATCTGTTCCTCAGGGTGCGATCTAGGACTATTAACCACAGAAAGCTTGACTATTATCGGCATGTATTAAGTGACTGAAAACAGGCTTATATGTTAATAAGTGAATGGCTTCATTTTTCATTCAGTGTCTTACACGTAAATAACAACCTAATAATGTCTGGTAGTTTTAATTCATTTTAAGATTATTCTTCTTAACTTAATTGTCTTGTTTAAAAATAATGACATATCTGAAATCGTACTACCATAATTAGAGCTGACAAAGTAAGGGAAAATCAAAGGAGTTAAATTGATGATGAATACTAGTAATGAAAAGCTAGAGAAACAAGTGGACCCGGATGAATAAATAATTTAGACGCGTATACCCAATTCTACGGTTTCGATTTACAGTTGTTGACTTCATTTGTCTTCCATACTCTTATGGAGTATACTGAACACTTTACATTTTTTAAACCAAAACTCACTAACCTATTGAACTGGTGCCATTTTTTAACATGAACATCGTTAATCGTATAACTATAGGACTAAAACATACTTTACAGTTCACCTATTTGGCAGTTAATTGTCTATCGTTTGAATAAGAATACGCAGACAGGGGTTTAAATAGGGTACAACGAATTTACATTTGACCATACTAGTAATTCATGTCTTGTAAAATCTTTCCTCACTAGTTACTAGGCTGTTATTAACTTTGTTAAATTCTATCATTTTACATGCCAACTGATCAATTATGTGATTCCTAATTACTTTTAAGCAATAACACCTGTATTTATCCATTATTTATTATGTAAAATACTGTGGTATATGCTACTTATATCGGCAGACATAAGTAGTATGTAACGTCAATCAGAAGAGTAGTGCATAGTAGAAGGCTATGAGGGTCGACTTCAAGAAGACAGAAACGGAAATTGGAAAGGAATTGTGACTTGGAAGAATCATACAGAATTTGAAGGACAAATGATGGAATTTCGCAAACGAAGTATTCAGTATATGGTTCTCATATTTTACCAGGAGTTTCTGTAGTTTTGTATTAAAATACACTGGTCGTCCCTACCTGTGTTCTCGTTCATTACAATACTACTGACCTTTTCAAGTCAATAAGGCGAGTTTCTAATTTTCCACCCAGTGGCGGAGAAGCGAATAGTTAAAATTTAAACTCTATCCATTTAATCATTATTTTACATGTTTCTGCTATAACCTCATCTTATTTCCTTTTAATCTTACTCATATTTTCTATTTCGTTGATAGCTTTCATTTAAAAAAGGCGACGTACTAAGAGTTTTGAAACAATTAGAAGGTGGTTGGTGGGAAGGTAGCTTGAATGGATTTGTTGGCTGGTTTCCTAGTAACTACGTAACACATGCTACTAGTTTAGGTATTTTTCCATAATTCATAAATTTACTTGTAGATGAGAAGGGTAATCCCACTACTGATGAAAGTTCGTTGATACACTTACAAAACTTTCAAAACGAGGTGAGAAATCGAATGTGTTATCTACCTGTTTATTCGGATCTATCTTCATAAGATTATACAGCATGTTTTAGAAGGTGAATTAAGACAAGTTAGTGAACTGTCTCAGTTATTGTCAGTATTTACGGTTAACCTGGAGCCTCTACTTCACTTGTAATTTCATGTACTTAATACAGCTACCTTTCTTTTGTAGATCATTCTTAAACAAACTCGTCAATTTAAGAGACATATTATTTCAAATTATTAGTATACATCAACATTTGGCCTCGGCTTTAACAGAAATGAAATGGTAAGTTTGTTCGTCTTTCTTTTGAATACATATTTATCTTTTATTGTTCATGGATATTTTTCTTTCCAACAGTACACATGGACCGAAATGTATGGGTCGGCTATTTTTAGAATTCGCTCCAGCGATTAATGCAGTTGGGTGTGATTATTCAAAAATTTATTTACATGTTATAACAGGATTAGAAGAACATATGTAAGTTATTATTTTGATCCTACAAATTTTGTAAGTTTCCAAGACTATTGGTCACTATTTGAATATTCATTCTATTAAGGGGAGACTAGATTGCTATGGTGCCTATCACTACCCAGCGTGACTGTTGGTTGTGGATAGACAACACAAAAATTCCAGGTTATTTTAGTCAATATGATTGGTTCTGTATTACTAGTTAATGATCTTTGTTAAGGCCAGATGTGAAACTCTTGTTGGAGGATAAACTATTTAATGAGATTGTACATTTCGGTAAGGTTTTCTGTTAAGCGTAGCATATGTGTTATTGATCATATGCCTCGAGGTGCTATGTTGGTTTGCAAAAGTGCTGAGTGTTACAATCATCGAGGTCGTTGATCGCAGGTATGAAACGAATTCAAAAATTCACTTTCAATTGGGTTGTGTGAGGAAATTTACAGCTGCGTCAGACTGGATTTTTCCAGTCTGCGACAGCGACCACTTTATACTATGTGGTAGTGGAAGTTAAACATGATCGATCTTCGAGCGTGGACAAATAGACACAGCCTACTGACTATTAAATATTTGATTTCTATTCCAGACCCACTAAATGTGACCCCTTGTAATTGTATTGAATAAAGTATCTAGTTCTATATTCTGGGTCATGAATCCTTGATCTGATATAATGTGACTGGTGTTTCTGTCGTATTAACGTATTATTGTAGTACACTTGAGAGTGAGGAGTATATCTTAGACAATCCGTTATATCACTATGACCAGCATTGTATACCATTTGTCAGTCAGTCAATCACAACGTAGAACTTCGTACGTACGTACATCAGTTCGAGTTGCCATACCACATTAGCACAGAGATGCAGTTGTCGATTCAAATCCCATAGTGGTGGAAGTAGTAGGAGTATAATCAGAAATCCAAAAGATTAGGGTTTGAAGAAATTATTGAAGGAGTATAGTACAGTGAAATAAATTTGGAAAGAGAAAAAGATAAAGACATGAGGAATTCAGAAGATTAGAATTTGGTAGAACACAAAGAGTGGATGCATCTTCGCCATTGCAAACGATTTTGAGCCATGTCATTCAAGGTCTCTAACCATCGGTTGCTGTCATTTCTCGAATCCCAACCAGGTAGTCTACACCTACCAACATGGCCCAGTCCACTTGTCAGTGACTTTATTGATTTGTGCCACGTTTTGGTCTGGCCACCCCTAGCTTTCTTCCAACCTACTCCTACACCATGAAACATTGCACGTCGGGGCAGTCGGTGGTCGGGCATACGTAACACATGTCCCAGCCATCTCAACTGATGAAGTTTCACTACTTCATCGATCGATTTGCCATCCCTACCTAGTACTCGTTTCCTAACAACTGCATTACTTACCCGGTGGTCCCAGGATATACGAGCAATGCTTCGAAGACACCTATGATCGAACACTAGTAGCCTACGAATATCCTCTACTCTTATTGACCATGTTTCACTGCCATAAAGTAGGACGGAGCGAACTGCTGCACAGTAAACCCGTCCTTTGGTTGCTAGACGGATATCTCGCCTACGCCATAAATGGCGCAAGTTGGCGAAAGCTAGACGAGCCTTCTGTATCCGTGCTGAGATTTCGTCACATACCAGACCACAAGGGCTGATGAGACTCCCAAGATAAGTGAAGTGGTCTACACGCTCAACTACTTCACTCCCTATCATTAGTTCAGGTGTCGCTGCAACCCAATCCTGAGGGAGAGAATCGCATCCCGAACATGCCTGCATAGTTGCTTATAGTGGTCAGAAGACTCTGCATGTTGTCAGCGTCTTCACCGAGTAAAACTATGTCGTCGGCGTATTCTAAGTCAACAAGTGAGCCTCCTGGTAAAAGTTCAACTCCTGGGGGTTTAGCTGATGAAAGTGCTATCTCTAAAAGTATGTCAATGACAAAGTTAAACAAGAATGGGGAGAGTGGACAGCCCTGACGAACGCCACTTGTGGTAATCAGTTCTGATGACAGTTCGCCATAGGCTCTAACTCGACCAGTTGTGTTCGAGTAGAGAGCCTTTATGAGGTTAATGTACTTCTTTGGTACTCCTTTCAGTGACAAACATTGCCATAGAACCTCACGATCAACGGAGTCAAATGCCGCCTTAAGGTCAAGAAATACTACTATTGTGGGACGTCTGAATTTGTGTCTATGTTCTAGAACCTGACGTAGGGTGAATATCTGGTCTATGCAACCACGTCCAGGTCGAAAACCAGCCTGGTTTTCTCTAGTCTGCTCTTCACGAGCTTTGGTTAGACGACCTAGTATTGTTGAAGCTAATATTTTAGACACTATATTAGTCAAACTGATCCCTCTGTGATTGTCACAAGAGGACTTTTGTCCTTTCTTATAGACTGGCACAATCAGTGATTGGGACCAGTCAGATGGAATTACGTCCAGTTCCCAGATTCTACCTAAGACCTCAGTCAATCTCACTGCTAGTACTGGACCACCATCCTTAAAAATCTCAGGGGTCAACCTGTCAGGGCGTGCTGCTCTCCCTCGCTTCAGATTTCCTATAGCTTTTTCAACCTCACAGAGGGTTGGAGGACTTACATCAATTTGCCATTCAGGACGACTGGGGATCGTGGGTAATTGAAGTGTGGCTGAAGGCCAGTTGAACTGATCCCTAAAGTGTTCTGCCCATCGATCCAATCTCCTGGATTGAGAATGAATAATATGCCCATCTTTATCTGAGATGGTTTCACTGATATTCGGGTTCCTAATACCGGTTTCTTTAACGAGTCTGAATAGCTGCCTACTGTTACCTATTGCCGCTGCCTTTTCCATCTCTCTTGCTTTCGCTACCCACCACTGTTCACGATCATTACGTAGGCTTCTTATAAGCCTGCGCTTAAGTTGACTCCGCTCTTCGTTATGCTCAGAGCCAGGTGGGATGAGTTTACGAGCATCTATCAGTGCGGTAGATGCTGCCGAGATCCATTGTTTCTCCCTAACGTTACGGTTTACCTTACTAGCGGATATCACTGCTGTTTCCACAGCTTTTCGGATGTCATTCCACGCTGCCTCGGGGTGGACACAACTTACATGGCTGCCTAACTGTTTTTCTAGTTGTTCCTGAAATATATTCTTAGCTTGCCTATCATTAAGTAGAACCCTTAGAGGCTTCCCTGCAGTGTCTTTCCTACGACCAGTAAGACGCAGACAGATACGTGCTCGCACTAGAGCATGATCTGAATCTAAACATGTGCCCCAGAATGAGCGACAGTCTTCTATCGAGCCCCTCCATCGGTGGCTGATAGCGATGTGATCTAATTGGGTCCAACGTTGGGACGAATTCGGGGGTCGCCATGTCAAAAGATGTTTTTCCTTATGCTTAAAGTTAGTATTTGCAAGAAATAGGCGGTTATCTGAGCATAGCTGCAACAGACGGTCGCCATTATCTGTTCTTTTCGCCATGACACCATAAGATCCACCCAGGTGTCTTTCCCTTTCACTTAGTTTACCTACTTGAGCATTAAAGTCACCTGCTACTATTACTACATCAGAACGCCTAGCTTCTCGGAGAAGGTCAGAAAGTTTCCTGTAGAACTCATCTGTTATATCGTCTGAGCTGCAGTCAGTGGGAGAGTAGGCAGAGACGACGAAGAGGCAACGACGAGTTTCCCTATCTTTCCGGGTCCTTACTGATCCGTTTAGTCGGACAGCGCATAGACGACTGTCTACTGGGATCCAGTCTAAAAGAGCTAGTTCTGCCCTAGGACTTAATGCTATACCTACTCCAGCGAGGCCACGGGAAGCAGCGTCAGGGCTTCCAGATACACGAAGCGTGTATCGAGATGAAACTTTATTTTGATTAGGTGCGGTCAAATGAATGACACTACTCGGATCTTGTATGTGCGTTTCGGAGACGCAGCACACATCGATGGTGTAAGATTCTAGAGTCTTAGCTAAGGAAGCCTGTTGTCCTATTTGGCACAATGTTCGGACATTAAAAGTTCCTATATGTAGTTTAGAGCGTGGTTTCAGGAGACCAGGAATAACGTTCTGTGTACTCGAATCGTTTGCCCTAGCGGTGCGAGGTGATAAAAGAACGTGGGAAGGGTTAGTCGTGGAGATAACAGAGTTATTAGGTGTAGGAAGGATTTGAAAGCGACCAACTTGGTCTTGTGTGCAGTTAAGGGTATGAGGGCTAGTATCACTTCCCGGCTGCCCACACCGTGGAAGGGTATTTCTTGAGGGACCTGAAAAAGAAGTTGGATTAGTGTTGGTCTTAACGACCTGGGAGCGTGACCGCAGTGCCCAAGGGACATCTGCTTGAGGCCGGTCACACACGGCCTTTTTGTGGGGGATTTTTGACGTGTTAGCTCCGCTCTTCAAAAGTCCTTACCGCCGGAGACGGAAATCCGTGGGATAAGGCGAGGTGTGCATTTTTATGGTCGACATTTTCTTACCCCACCCCTCCTTGTGGGAAGGCAGCATCGCTGTCATGCTGGTTGTCTGAAGGAAACACCTTACTGCCTTCACACCTCTGTACAGTCAGCAGTACGACTTCGCCTTCGGACCTTGGGATTGCTGCTTTTAGTCTCACCGCACTTCAACCGACCTGTCTGGCATGGTAGGACCTTGAGGAACGATTGTTCCAGCCAGCATAGCTCGATTGGATCATCACGATAGGCAAGCCCGACCACCACGTCAAGGTAGCAGCAACGGTCGGGGTATACCATTTGTAGCTTTGGTGAAGCTGACTCTCAGCTGAATGGGTTAGTTGCGAAGCCTTCTTTTATCGTTCTGGACAAAAATCAATCTTGAAACCGCAGTATCATTTAGATCGATGTGAATTTCGTTCAATAGTGGTAGCATAGGCAGCCCACCAGGATTCTCCATCTAACTTTGTCCTGGGCAATCCTTTCCAGTTTCTAATCGTCCTTTCGATATCTGCTTTCGATTCTCGGTGCAGTGTACTCTTTGGTCTTCCTCTTTTCCGTTTCCCTTCAGGATTCCAAGTTAGCTTCTGCTTCGTGA